AAAAAAAAAAAAAAAAAAAAGAGCAGCCAAGCAGCTCAGGCCTTAAGCTTGGGCCGAGCCTCAATTTTTTGGCCGAGCTCAGGCCAAAAAAAGCTCAAGCCGAGCACAAGCCTCGATTTTCGGCTTGACTCGTTAACACCTCTAATACAACGTAATGTAAAATACCAAAAAAAAATACTCAAAGTAAATTTCTCAAATGATTTATAGCCATACAACCCATGCCAGAAAATTCAAATAACACATATTGCAATTTCTATCTTACGAATATAACATAACATAGATTATAATCAAATAGCACATAGATTATAACTCTCAAAAGCTAGATAAAACACAATTTTTTTTTCCAATTTCAAGTGTTAATTTCCAATCTTACCTAAGATAACTTTCATTGAATATTATGAATTTTAATTTGATTGGGTCTTTCTCTCGTATTGACCTTTTAAAAAAATTAAAAAATATTAGTAGCTTTAAATCATCATGCCCGAGCTTTTTTTGAAATCACTATCCATGTAGCTTATAAGTGCTTGTAAAAACGAGTGATATTATGTTCACCATTTTCTCAAATTCATTTCAGATCATATGAAATTTTAGGAATAAGAATTAAGGATCCAAACCATGCGCAATAGGGGCAAAGAAAACCTGTGATTGTCATTGCATTACTATGAATTAACTTCTCCAAGTGGTTTTTGTCGAAGAATTTTATTGCAAATTTCATTCAAGATGAGTAGAAAATTATGCCATAGCATTGATACTATTGATAAGGTGGTAAACCTTTGGAAGTTCGTGAGGAACAATGTTATCATATAAATGTATCGTGAAAACATTTATAAATTAACATGAACATTTATAGTGGTGCTGGTACAAAAATCAAATTATTGTTCTGACTTCAGAGTTCCAACATCATGCACAAGTATAGACAATTTTTGGGTAATATAAATTCTACACATTCCACATTAATAATAACATAATAAATACAATACTCGTGCAATGCACAAGATGGAGACTAGTTTATTTAAAAACGTAAATAACAATTTCCCAACTAACAACCATACCCACCCAAATCCCAAACCATATCAATCTCCCCCAGTGAACCATACCCATCCTCTATCACTCTTCCACACATGTATAGAAGTTCTCATCTTTGGCGTGTTAGGAATCTACTTATCATGCGCATCAAAAAATAAAAACAGATTTCAATTCCCATCAAAAATCTGCTTTGTGTTTAAATATAAATTGTGATAAAAATGTACATTTGAAGAGATTTCAAACCTTTTTGCCTTTCTTTTGTTCTAGCAACATCGATCTGCCACCCGCAACTGTCTAATTGTTCAATCTCCAATGGTAATCCACATAGAGAAATGGATTGTGACAACTAAGGTTTTCTCTCTAGATCCAAAACCCTAGCTACCTATTTATATAAACCCAAACGAGCTCGGTCCATCTCCTAATCTGGTCTAACATTTAATTAACACATTTAATTAAATTCGATCCATGAATTAATTAATCCAATTAATTAATTTGAGCCAATAAATAAGTAACATAATTAATTAATTTATCCAACGCTTGATAAATTAATTAATTGGTAAAACATAATCTTCCAATTCTCATTTTGTGTATGGCCCATCAGGTTCTCAACCACGATACCTAGTGACGTGAATTATTATTTTAATCTAATCAAAATCGATAAAAATTAAAACACCCTTTTAATTTATCATCTACTCACATTCGCTATCCCAGATTGAGATCTAGCAATATATCAGGACAATTCATGTGACGAAAAATTATCACGTGATATGACAAAATCAAACTCGTTCGTTTACTGTGAAACTATAATCCCTTCGTCAATATAATCTGATCAATTATGAGATATGGAAGTGTGTCAATCCTGATTATAGATCATATCTTTCATCCCACTATTAAGTCAATATAATTCGAAAACTTCTTTCGACTTTTGGGTACACCTTGGCCAAAGATTTCGTTATCAACTTAATTGAATGAAATGCATATCATAATCTCTTACTATCTAAGAGTGACAAATCTTCTATTGATCATTCACAACTTTCATACTATTCTTGACATACCCGAACAACGCTGTATTAGCTGCCATTAGCAGGCAACATCCAACACCGTCAAAATTT